ACTGGAGAGACGTCGTTTCTCGGCGTCGGGAAGTGAGCGTGCCCTACAACTCCGCTACCAATGAGGAGATTTGGTAGTGGACTCAGAGTCGACGGCTTAGCGGTGGCAACTGCTAGTTGTGCAATGCGCAACGGGACGTGAGCGTGCCTACAGCTCCGGTACCTATCTGGAAAATAGGGAGGGTACTGTACGTGCACCCGGGGTGGCTTACCCGAGGCACTAGCCTGTCGAAGAACCCGATGAAGTCAAGTGACAGAGGTCTGTGAGAACCCTGTACACTGGCTGATCAGAGGTCAGAACCTGAACTTATAAGGTTCCTGTGGGCGCACAGGTTATAGTGTCCTCCTCGTATGTCGGGAGGGTCACTATAATCAAAACTAACGTAGAAATTGTAGACAGCCAAGAATGCATAAATGTCAGAAATGGCTCTGAGAAACATTCCGATTTAGTAGAAGTAGAGCTCCTTGTGAAAGATTCGTTCAAAGAAATTATATCACCACACCTATTTCTACCGCCAAGCAGTTACGTAAGCATTACTGCGTTCCGGTTTTGAAGGGTAAAGTTTCAGGTAAACTACAGGCACAAAGGGTTTGTCAGCTATATGTTTCAGGGTGATGAGTCAGTGGCAGTGGCAGTGCCTGAGAGGTCTTGGCGATTAAAGTTCCGTTTCATATCAGATTATATTCAAAATCATTTATTCCATAGGTAAATTAAATTACACTTGAAAACGTCATTCTTTAAGCTACTGCTCGTCCACTGCGCTGACTTCTCTGGGAAGAACGAGCAAGAAACTCTAGGGATTGCTCCTTTCAAATAAACTTAAATGCTATGGAATACACTTTGAGTCATATTTTACTGGAATCTAGACTTATGTTATCTTTCCATACATCTTTATCTAGCACGTAGTCTTCAATTTTGTAATACGACTTTTCAATGAAAATACTTTCAATGTAAGTTTATTATATACTCCGGAATCTTATTGTATTTAAGAGTTGGTACTTCCATTGGACTTCCGTTGGACCATGCAGTAATGTGATAATTACTGCGTTCTGGTTTTGAAGGGTAGCGATACTGGTGACTCTATAAGCACGTGTTAACTTTGGTGACGGACGCGGGGCGGTTAATAGTGGCCTATCACGTCTTTGCGATTCAAAACTCGGAGTGGTACTACGATTTATTCGTCCCATTACTTGAATGAACATAAATGTTTCTCCGAAGATTGGTTCCTTAAACAAGGATGATATAGGATCATGGGAAAGCAGAGAAAGTTTGTTCCAGATTAGGTAGATAAAAAAGCAAACGTGAAAAACGTGTGCGGTCAATTGGAAATTTGTATGAGCAATTTTACGACTTACATTTCTCAAAATTAACATAAATTTTCTGCTCCAGTTGTTTGTTGCAGTAACGTCTACAACAAGATGAAGGATGATCGCATTATGATGCGTCCGGGCAATTTAGACTCAAACACCGTCACAGTCGTGGTAAAATTCAGTATTTTGGAATGGATGACCGCAATATTAATAAAAATAATCTCAGTTCCGAGTACTAAAACAACCGACCTCAAAAGTCATTAATGTGCTACCCTTAGAGGCGGAATATTATCTTCAAATTTAGATGGGAACACAATTGAGGTACCATCTTTCCAACAAAAAATCATCAAAATCGGTTAACAAAACTTTCACAAATCGCCGGAGATATTATATAGACTAAAAAAAACACACAGTCGAATTGAGAACCGCCTCCTTTTTTACAGTCGGTTAAAAATGTAAATAAATTGCTTTGCTATACCACGAACCCAGACAAGGTTAAATCGTGTCAAATAGCTACGCTTCTGTTGAAATTAATTTACCCACCATCACTATACATAAACAGTCACAAAAACCACCATTAAAAATATACTAAACATAAATAAATATTAGAAAACACACATACGCTGCTCCGATCTTAAAGTAAGTAACTAAAACACTTGTGTTATGGAAATTGGAAACAACGACGGTACCACAAACACCAAACCCGAGACAATGTAGAAAAGTTAGTTTTTCTACATTGATCTGGGCTGGGGATTGAACGTGCGACTTCAGAGATAGCGACACCACGAAAACCGGTGTGTAAGCCACTCGACCACGAAGGTTGTCTATACTCGACAGGTGTTTCGCCTAACTACGAGGTGTCCTCAGGACTGAAAGAAATCCGATTATTAGTGCATAAATATTTTATTAAACATAATAAGGTTATACAATATGAAGAGACCAATTAATGTAGAGAGTCCTCTTCTAAACCCCAAAACGACCAGAACAGGTAAAGTGTGGAGATTTTAAATTTTGATACAATAAGAGTCGTTCCTGCTCACGTGTGTATTTTGCTCTCGAATCACACGTTAGCGCGGCAACGACAGGACCGCTGATGGTCTTGACTGCGCCAGCGATAGAATAAGCGTTATTGCATGTTACTAATACTACATTCTAATGAGTAAATCATTCGTCTAAGTCGAATCCAAGCACAGTAATTCGACTCGAGTCGAATGATTATTACATCGGAAACATTCACGTCAACAGCAACAACAGTCCTCGTTACGTTTCCGGCATTTACCATATTATGTCAGAGAGGGCTAAGCACCGAGTATATAACCAGAAATAGAGACGATATCAGGGCCATCCATGCCTGGCAATTCATTAGGCAAATGGGCACTTTTAAATATCAATTCTCATTTACATTGAAATCACAAATTAGAAAACTGGAATAGTACAGCGCCAACAACCTGTGTGTACGTCTCCGTATATTCCATAAATATTCTGTATTTATTGTAATAAAGATAACAATGGGGGCTGTTCCATTAGGTGGTGTGGGAAAAACAGCAAAACATCTAATTACAAAACCAACGGAATTATATTCCATCGGTAATTAAATGTGAAATATGTAATTTTTCAATTTTTTCATTATAGCAAAGCTCTAGTTAAACTGGTCAATTGTTTCTACATCGGGCTGGCCAATCGGAGCGCAGTTGTCACCGTAATTATTTAACAGAATAGGTTTCAAACAAAATTAAATGACATTTCATCTCCATTTCTGGTTATATATTCGATGGGGCTGATCAAGAGTACCGTTGTGTTCTATGGAATCTATGGATTAGTAATGAATGATCATTCCGGTCATTCGAATATAAAAATTAGTAGGTTACTAATCCGTCATTCGAGTGACAAGATTACTAATTAAATTACTAACGAGCCGAATGATGAAATCATTCGCAATCGCGCATTGCTAGAGCTCGCTCTTTTTTTTGACACTGACACTGCAGTTGGCCACAGATGGCCTTGATTGCGCCATCAGATAAAAGGGCGAGCTGAAGGCTCTTAACCCATTAAAAATAACGTAAATCAAACTTAAAACTAAGTAGCGAGTCTGAGGGCGGCCCAATTTTTTTTTAATAATAACCCACACAGGCGTGTGGGTTATTATCAGACGGCCCGTAACAGCTGCATTGTGCAGATGGCACTGCCACTGCGTCCGTCACCCTGAGACATAAGTTGACAAGTCTCATGTGCCTGTAATTTCACCAGCACCCTTACCCTTCATAACCGGAACACAGCAATGTGACCATTACTGCTTGGCAGTAGAAATAGGTAAGGTGGCTGGACCTCGGCTACCGCTACTGGGGACTTCCGCCAAAAGGGCGTGCTTTAGGAGAGAATCTACTATTGTACTGTTGAAATGGTTCTGCGAACTCGCTGGCGAGGATGGTTGGTACGTGTGAAACAAAGACTATTTAAACTAAATAAAAAATAATATTATTATAAAATTATTATTGCATCCTGATGTAGAAGATTAACATTTGCTTTTCTATTTAATTGGTTCGCTTGAAACTCGCATTGAAATAATTCGATCGAACAAAAAATCGTTAGGTCGTACGCACAAGATCGATTCGTAATGTGCATCCTTAGTAAGAGAATCCTCACGATTACAAGGCGCGTAATGTGTGGAGTTGCCTCTTTTTCCCCGACGCTTTTTGGTAAAAGACCGGTTAAAACCTGGGCGGGTTGATTGGGTTTTAACCCACTGCCTATTTCTGAGTATGGTACATATTATTATTTATTTGTTAAATAAAATCCTGTGAAATTTGGTTATGTGCAGTTACGCGCCTTTTGTCAATACTACATACGCGGATTTACACTATCTCCGACAATGTTTAAGTAAAAAAGCAAAAAAATGGTATTTCGACTTGCAACAATTTAGGGCGCGTGTCCACGCTGAGAAAAGTCACCGGGTCCATGCAAGAATTCGTGTCGTTTCTACACACGAACTGTGTACACTGCCTCGGCGCCGGACAACAAAAAAATCTTGTCTACCACTTTCGTCGAACCTTTATGCGCGTGGACTGGTGTTGCAAAGTACAACTATTGTACCACTAATTTTATTGCGATTAATAAAATGCATGATTTACTTATAAGCTTAGTAGAGGAAAGACCCGTATTGTGAGACAAAACCTTAAAGATTCATAAAGATAAACGACGTATTTTTGAGGCGTGGAGATAAATATTTATTATTCTTAAGGAAGATTTTTAAGAAATGACAAATACAGAAAAAAATTTATATGGTAAATTCAAACAATAATTTGAAGTATACATTTCTTAAAATTATTATTAGGTAAATACTTGCATAGTATATGATTTATGCGTATGTATCTTGCCATATAGTAATGACAATTATATCGGGGGAAAAATAATTGGTAGACTCGTTAATGCACTGACACGTTTACCCTACACACATCTGCCCGAAAGCATTCGTATCGTGTACATACCCATCATTTTCTTGTCTGCAACAGGCACGACATATTTTCGTGTCTAGATCCGACAAAGTTCTTGTTCGTGTCCATTCTCATTTTTTCTGTAGCAGACACGTCAAATTTCTTAACGTGTACACGCGCGGTTACGTGTGAGGTGTCGATTATTCACCGCGATATTATTAAACTTATGTTATATCTTGGGGTTTCAAATGGGACTTACTTTGAAGAGATTCTCGGCACCAGCACGCAAACGAAGCTCCTTGTTAATCTCCTGGTTGAGCTGGCACCGCCGTGTCTGCAGGCGTCCGCGGCATGTCGCCACGCGCGGATCCGAGCCCTACAACAACAGCACACATGTTTTAACTCAAGATTATGCTACAGAAATACTACAGATATTTCTTATGGAAGGCTGGAAAGTTGTTGTTTGAAGTGATGAGATCTGAGAAAGCGAAGTACCCTAAGATTGATGAGAACCCTGAGCGTAGCGAGGGTTTTTTTTATAATATCAAGTGACGGGACAAACAACTCGTGCGCCTGATGGTAAGCGACACGCCTGTCCATAACAATTGCAGTGTCCGCAGAGCTTTAAATCGCAAAGATCTGAGAAGCACTGCTACTGAGTCCGTCACTCTGCGACCTGTAATTTCACCAGCACCCTTACGCTTCAAAACCGAAATGCAGTAATGCTGACATTACTGCTTGGCGGTAGAAATAGGTAAGGTGGCAGTACTTCCCTGGACGAACTCTTTCACAAGGAGCTCTACTGCTATTGAAGGTTACGTGTAGTACGTGTAAAGGGTACGTGCCTGGTTTCAAGCCACGAGACGCAAAACAACTTTCCTGCCGAGCGAAACACAACTTTTCACCTCACTATAGCGAGGAAAGAAAAACAGTTGAGCTATAACAAATCAGTTTTTATAAACAAAATTACTATTCGGTGTCAATTTAATGTCAACAATAATAAGAACAAAATATACCAACGGATTTATATTACGTAAATACGTGTACGACAAACCGCGTAGTTGAAAGTGCCATTACGTTTGGTTTTCATCGAAAGAAAAAGTTAGGTGCACCACAATCCATCGTCAAGTTCGAATTTCAAAAACCTTTTCCACACTAGCGTGGAAAAAACGATTTTGCGCGCAGATTCCTAATGAGAAAGAAAGGCTTTCCGAGCTCACTATGGTGAAAAATACATCCCCGCTTGAGATCGAATGCCGTTTGATCAAACATTATATTGCACGAAAACGTTTACTCGTTCCACCTATAAATCGTGAGTTCTAAGGTTTGCCACATCGACGCAACAAAATCCCCAAAAAAGCGATTTCTCGAAAGATGTCGAATATACATACATATAATAGAATACACTAGGCCAATATAAACAAATTTTACTATACATACGTACTACACTAAAATCGATGTTAAATATTGCTTTTAACTAAATTGAATTCAAAGATCTTTCGAGAAATAGCATAGCATAATCACACAAAGGGGGAACGCTGCCAGCATATTGGGCACCTTGCCGCGGGGACCCAATTTTATTTATTATATTTAATCCTAGTTTTACTTTCGAGAAACAGCTTTTTTGGCTGTTATAGATTTTAACAGCAATAGAGCTCTTTGTGAGAGAGTTCATCCAGGGAAGTCAGACAACTACAACTATTGCCTAGTTTCCAGGAGTGAGGCGTGCAAAATTGTCGTTAGTGAATATGTTTTTTGTATTGCTCCGGCGAGAAAAACAAAAAACATATTCCTTAACAAAAACTGGCGCCTTGGCGACACTTAAGTATAATGGATTAGCGCACAAGGTATACTTCATTTCACTAGTTAACTCATTGTACACATAAAATTTAGCACAAAATGTTGTATTTGATAATACGTGGAAAATTTTAGGCAAGCCGGTGAAAATCGAGTTATATGGACGTCTCGCCACTGCTACTCTCAAACTAGGTAATTCCCTGTACTATGAATCCTAGAGCAACGAAATTCTCTGGGGTACTTCCCAGAACACCCAGTAGCAATTCAGAAAAGTTGATTTCCCAATTTGGTCCTAACGGGAATCGAAACAGAGCCTCCTCACCCTTTAAATATATTCGCATCAATGCAACATGTCGCGAGAAGTGACAGTGAATTCCTAGGCTGCGCCGGCGCGGCGCAAACCCGCAAGCGTGCCTGCTCACGCGCACACGTTTATGTGACGTGCTTTCACTCAGATGCTTATTAATCTTGGTTGTTTATTGAGTTATATGTCACTGGACACTGTTTGGATTGGTTATTTTTAACTAACTTCATATGGAGACGATTCTCAAATAAGATATATATGCGGCTTGATAAGTTCGTGATTTTGAGAAGAAAACTTTTTAAATTATGATTTATTTTTGTATTATAACTATAATGCATCTTGATATTCCAACTTAACATCAAAAAATATTTTTGTCAAACTGAAAAATAAGCTATCACTTCCTCATTTGATGCAAATCGGAAAAAAAAGATAAAAAGTAAAATGGGTGAATACGGGTTTGACAAGTTTTGATGTTCTGATTGCAGATGAGAAACGGAGTACTCGAAATTCCGTTTTTTCCAGTCTTTTTAATAATAACTAAGCGACGGGACGAACAAGTCGTGCGCCTGATGGAACCCAACGCAGAGCTTTAAATCACAAAGATCTGAGGGGCACTGCCACTGCGCCCGGCACCCTGAGACATAAGTTGACAAGTCCAACGTGACTGTAATTTCACCCTCAAAACCGGAATGCAACAATGCTCACATTACCGCCTGGCGGCAGAAATAGGTAAGGTGGTAAAATGATAAAATTTTCACTAATAAACACTCTTAATTACAGTGCAAAGGGCAAGTTGGATATTACGCACTAAAATAGAAAGTTTAATGTTTATTTGAGCCATTATGTGCTTGTCGTTAAGTAAATAAACAGTTATGTAAGTGATTTTGCTTTCCCAACAATCAGGTTACGTTACATCCCTCGAGTGTTACTTTCTCTTATTTGAAGTTATTGCGAAAATTCGAGAAGACTTGACGTTTTGTTCACTTTCCGGACATATTATAACTTTTTAAACCGATTTCAAAAAAGGAGGAGGTTCTCAATTCGACTTTTTGTGCCATCATCTTCATCCCCTAATTTGCCACTCTTAGAGGTGGAATGTTCTCTTCAAATTTGAATGTGACTGCTACAGAGGTACCCTTTTACCGACAAAAATAAACGCAGCACACTTTTTTTAAGTCGGTTAAAAATATTTAGTGGCCATATTAAAGTTAAATTAAAATATCTATAATTGGCAATTAAACTTGACAAATAGATGTCATTGATTCGAATTTAATTGTGATGTGAAAGATGTGGCTAGAAAGAGGATGTGGTGACCAGAAAAGAGAAAGGAATGTTGTAGGTTTGGGCATGTAGGTGCAGATGGATGTAAGAAAAATTACCATGTAGATTTGTGATGCAAATGTGAATGAAAGGGCTTTAAGAGGTCGTCCCAGAAGGATTTACATTGACCAGATAAGTGATGTCCTCAAAAAGGCTGGGATCCGAAGTTACAAAAATAAAAGAAGTTGTATTTATCGAAACTTGTGTCAGGACAGAACAAGGTGGTCGTGGTGAATGCTCACCGACCTCACGGCGCCGACTCAACCGGCGAGAGGTAAACCCGTGGGGTATTAGTGGGGTAGGCCCTCCAGTCTGGAGGGAGAGTCCCCACATGACCCCTGAGTCTTCCTGGGCTATAAAGATTCCCCCCTGTCAAAAAAAAGGACAGAACAAGGTGGCATTCCGTGGTCTCTACCTACCTATTCAGTCGGACAAGAGCGTGAGCTTATGTATGTATGTAATAGATGTAATTCCACAAACTTTTGCAATCCATTAAAAAAAGTTATAATTAAGAAAAATAGTTTTAAGTAGGTATCTAGATAGAAAGTGAATGAATAAGGCGCCAGTCTTTAAAAAAATTTAAGTTAAAAAAAAATATATATATACTTTCCCATTAGGGTTAGCAGAGCACAGCCTACGAATTGCCACGATCTTGACACACATCTTCCGTATCTTAAACACGCATCAGTGCTTTCATACACGTTCGTCGGTTAAGGGTATTTTTGACCTGGCATTTCTTTAAGAGGTCCTCAATTTTGTCGTGGTAAGTTTGCGTTGGTCGGCCCTAACCAACTTGGTCAATCGCACATAAAATTATTTGTTGAAAGTTACCACCATGTACTGTTGGGTGATTTGAAATAGGAAAAATTGGAAAAATGTATCATAGTTATTTACAAAAATTTTGAACGTATCTGTTTTTATTTGTTATGTTATGCGCCCCTGCTATTTATTCTGAACTCAGCTCTCTGGTTGACTGGTAAAGAACGCTTAATGGCATTAAGTCTGCCGTTTGTACTACTTTGTGTATAATAAAGTTTAAATAAATAAAATGAAAAATAAAAATTGGAAAAATGAAATTACCAAGGCACATATTATGTTCTACGTTTAGAAATATTTTTTGAAGTGTTATTTTGTGTGGATTATAAAATAAACTTGAATAAGCCACTTAAAGAAAAATGAGATTTAAAATGTTTTTTCAACAGCGAAAAAAAAGTATTTTAATGGCTTCATTTTTTTTATTTATTAAGGCTTTGGCAAAGCCATCAGCCTAAACATGAAGTTTAATTATGTTTCTGTAAACATGGCCGCCACAAAGAGGATAGGCAATTTGAGGCGGCGTGCTTGGATTGACTCGGGATTCCTTAGAACGGGCCGATACGGGTATTTTAGTTCGAGATTCGTATAATTTCGCGTTTTGATCTTCGATGAAGGCACAATAGCACTATCCTATTCCACTTTAAACTAGATTTCACAAAATAATTGAAAGTCAAAATAAAAACGACGCTTTTCCCTCCAAAACGTCCAGAGCGAATGTTAATGGCTTCATCGTTGTCATTCAGTAACCTCAACTTTTGACAGGTGTCAACGTCAAATGTGGAAAATTAAAGGAAAAATATTGGACAAATATGATTTATTCAAAACGGAAATTTTTTCATGGCCCAACATTACCGCCATGTTCCTTATGTGCTGTTTTTCTAAATACATATTAATAGGAAATGAAACAATTTGTCGGTCCTAAATTATTTGTTTATATTAAAATATTTGGTTTTTTTTTAAACAAACCAACGTTTTGGTCTCTTTTTCACAATTTAGATTCAAAAAAATTATTTCATTTTCAAGTCTTTCAGTGCTCAAGGTCAACTTGCACCGCGAACAGCTCCAGAATTTTAGCTAAAAATGACGAAATGTGCGGTAAATGAGTGTAAAAATACGTCAGACAAACATAAAATAGATAC